AATTTTAAATATAAGGAAAAAAAAATTTATTTATTTTATTTTAACTTTTAAATTTTTCAAGGTTCAAACAAATGGACAAGTTATTACACGTTATTTGAAATTCAGGATAAAAAAAATTTTTTTTTTTTTTCTTTAAGGTCCCAAACGACATTGTTGTTGTTGCTGCTGCCGCGTACGTCCGAACGTATTCTCCCATGGGATTTTAATCCAACAAGAAATTTTTACTCTCTTTCTCTTACTTTAGTAACACTTGTCCGTAATATTTTCCATAAATCATCGGCCATCTTGGCGGTTGGAGCATGACCTGCCAACAAAAGTAAGAAATGGTAAAAACTTTTTTCTCATATCTCGAGAGATTTCAAAGTCTTTCTTTATATATAGATAAATTTTTTTTTTTTTTTTTTTCGGGGGTTCAACTGTGAGAATGAATTATTATTTTATGGGTGCATGAATTTTTTTTTTTTTTTTTGTACCGACCGACCGAAAGAAACAAAATGTTAATATCAAATTAAAAAAAAATTTGACCTTTTCGAAAAACGCCGCGTATTTATTTACACTTGAAAATTATGTTAAAAAAAAAGAATGGAAAATTCTCTTGTATCTCCTCTCCCTTCCCTCCTTTCGCCTCCCCCCACACACACACAATTTTTTTTTTTTACAACATCACGCAAACAATTTACAAATAATCCCATTATTAGTATCTGTTTTGAGTTAGAGAGAGAGAGAGAGAGAAGATGTGTGAATTGTAAAAGAAAAATGAAACAGCATTTTTGAATGAAAATAAATATTTTGAAATTATACCTGGAAATAAACCTTATCGATCATAGAACATGTCATTGAAACAAATAACCGAAATAAACTAATAAATTATCGATAATATTTAACCGTAAAACGCCATCTTGTCACATTTCCTTCTTTTTTTTCACGTGTAACAACAACAACAACAAACGTTTTGTTAAAGAGTTTTTCTTTTATAAATAAAAATTATTTTTATTTGACAGTTACAAAAAAAAAAACTTTTGACGAGAGAATGATGTGATAGTATTTGTAATCATTTAAAATTAAAAAATATTTTCAAACTTTAGTTACGTGACGTCATAATAGTCATTTAGGGGTGAGAGTTTTTTTTTTGTTGAAAGTTTTTAAAAAAAAAAAAAAAAAAATGGAGAGACATTAAAACTAAGTTAGCCGGAAAAGTAATTAATGACAAAGTTTTATAAAGAAGTTATGTATATTTAATTAGTGAAAAGTAATTAATTAAAACACGGTGTGTTTGAGACCTGGTCCTCAACGGAGGGTCATAAAGAATATTTTATAGGTTGATAAGTTAAACGACAAAAAAAAAAAAAAACCGGAAACCGTCGTCTGCTTGTTTTATCAAATTTAGAAATTTTTTTTATAAAAACGTTACAAAAGCGACAGTAAATTTCACAGATATTAAAATATTTTTTGTTTTTTTTTTTTTGAAAACTACACGAAGTAATAAAAAAAAAAAGAGAGAGAGAGAGTGAGAGTGAGTGAGAGAGAGGGAAAAAAAACATTTGACTCATGTCGAACAATTTTACTCTATGAATTCAAGACTTGAACTTCCCCCTAACAACTGATAAAAAATTCAAAAGTCTTGATGAAAACGAAAGTTGTTGAGCTTGGGGAGCCAAGACAAATTCCTCATACTCCCCCCTCCCCTCTCCCTCTTCAACAGTTGAAAATTCAACTCTTGACAGACAATATCACGCCAAAAAATAAAATGAATTCTTTTTCATGACGTCCTACTTTCTTCCTCCACCCCGTACATATATATATTTTTTTAAATAAAAAACATGGCTCCGAATAAATTTTTTTTTTTTTGTTCAGTCACATCAAAATTTCTTAAATTATTTTTTTTAACCGTTAATTTAACCGGAAATCGACATCGTTTCCTTTAAATAAAATCCAAAACCTGAAAAATCACGCGATAAAAAAAAAAGAAAATCAAACCGCGCGCACGTGTGAAATAATATAATTAGACTAAAATCACGTATAATTTAAACATAGATAAAACAGTTCATTTTATTTTTCTTTTTTTTTGTTATTTTTTTTCCACAATGTAATAAAATAAAATTTTATAAACAAAGTTACATTTGTGTGTGAGTTTTCCTTTGTATATAAAAAAAAGGAAAAAAAAATCTGGAAAAAAGGAAAATAGCATAGTAAAATTTAAATTCTTTGTGGAAAAAAAAAGAAAAGGATGCGGTCCTTGCAGACCAACGTGATCAAATTGTCAAACAACAAAACCTTTCTTTATGTTATTTTTTTCTAACTTCGTTTGCATTTTTGTTTGTTTGATTTTTTTTTTCCTTTTCTTTTTTCTTTTTCTTTTTCTTTCTCTTATTTTTACTCAATAATCTGTGAAGTATGTTCTTGAAATATTTATATATAAAAAAATATACGCTCATACATATATTCTTTTTTTTTTTTTAGTTTTTACCACAAGGGGGGAAAAAACAACAAAGACAACAACACAAGCAGTAGAAAAGGTGAGAGAAAAGGTTTTTTTTTTAAAAAAAACTAATCAATATTTATTAAAACTTAATATTAAATTTAAAAAAACCTTAATTTAAAACCTTTTTTTTTCCGGGGGGAGGAGAATAAAAAGGGTTAAATTTTTTTTTTTGAAATAAAAGAACATAAGTTAAACATTAAATTTTTTAAAATTTAAGACAATTTAACTAAAAAGGTTAAATCGGAAAAGGTTTTTTTTTTTTTTAAATTAAAAGGTCACACAAATATTTGAGGGTTTTAATCAGTAAAAAGTCTAAGGAGAATTACGGTAAAGGTTTCTTTCTATTTCTCTCGATGATGATGATGATGATGAAAGGTTTTAATTGAGTCATGCATACGTTATATATTTAGTTCCCATAAGATTTTATCATAACAAAATGAAAATTGACTTGACGCAATGAGACGAATTAACGTCGCCCCTGAACGAAAAAATTATGAAAACTTTTTTTCTTTTTCCTTCCATCATCCTTCTCTTTTCCTCTTATATATATGTATAAACTCTTTTTAATTATTTAAACTCATCCTTTTTCTTTTTTTTAACCTGCCATTTTTTTTTTTTTTTAGTTCCTTCAAGCATTTTCATTTAAATAAATAAAAAAAAAAAAAAAAAAGAGAAAAAATAAGGGAATACGAGTCGGTGGGTGGTTGAATGAATGGATGAATGGTGTCGTGGAAAAAGAAAAAAAGGTAAAAAAAAAAAAAAGTTGAAAAAGTTGTAATTGAAGAGTGTGAGATGAAAAAAAAAAAAGACATTTGCAATTTGAATATGAATATAAAAAAAAAAAACCTTCAAAACTTGTTTCTAATTCAATATTTCACTCTTTTTTACGTTTTATATAATATCAGAAAATTTTATTTTATTTTTTGTAAAACAACCCCCTTCACCCCCCGGCACCTCATTCCCTAAAAAAAGAAAAAACATAAAAAACCCCCCTCGTTGATTTAAATTATTAAAAAAAATGAAAATGAATGAATGAATGAATGAAAATAAAAAAAAAGAAAAAATAATTTTTTTTTTGCCTGTCGTGTACAGTTTGTGTGTTCGTGGGTGTGCGTGTGCGTGTGTGTACGTGCGTGCGTGTATACCTCTTGGGAAATCTATAAATATTTGAAGAAGTTAAATTAAGAAACAAAGTCGAGAAGGTCATCGATTAAATTGGATAATCTGCGACTTTTCTTTTTTTTTTTTTTTTTCCTTTTCGGTTATTTTATTTTCTCTTCTCTCTCAATGATAAGAAAAACTTAAAACGTTTCTAGAATTTTCCGGTCACGACAGTTTTCTTCGCTATTTTTTTTTTTTTTTAAATAATTAATGATAAG